GTCAGTGTGTGTAATTAGATACCACTTATGAGGTCATGTTAACGTTAAGTAGGTACCAGTCCTTTTAAGTTTTCTGCTAAAGTATGTCAGTTTTATTTACATCGTTTCGTAAGCCAAGTTATGATTAGGGCTTAAATTGGGTCGTAAGCTATATTTGGCATTATTTTCTAACTTTATTTTATACCCTTTTTATATGTCACCTATTAGTTAAAGAGAACTTTTACTGAACTTACATAATATTTTCAATACCTAGATCTAACGTCACTTTAATTAATAGAAAATTAATATTTTATATGTATTTTTCTTTTATAAAACTGAAATGATGAACGAACTTACAGTTCGTCCACGTAATAGTAATAGGCTACAGCAACTCAATGACCCTTTTTTTAATGTCGGTCTCGCACCGACTAAAACCCCATGGTGTACCACCTTCGCCGCATATAGGCAGGCCCAGAGAAACGCTTTCGCATACATCAAAAAGCGTAAAAATGTATATTGCAATTTTTATAAAATCGATGTGAAAAACGTACTTTGACGAATGGTCAAAATTTTAATGGCGATAGTTGCCACGCTTCGCATGGCGATTTTACACAATTCCATTTTACGATTAAAAATTTGAACCCTTCAACTTTGAACCCAATAAGACATTCCATGGAGTAGTGTAATTAATCTACTAATTTCGTTACTTAGATGTGTAAGCTCATGAATGTTTGCGATAGCTGTTTCGAATTAGTTTGAAGTCAGAAGTGAAAGCACAAACTTTGCTACAGTCGGTGGAAATACTAAGCCTATCTATACATGCACAACCTAAATAATATATTATGTATATTCAAAGTATACTTGATTATGTTCTTAATTAAACTGTAGTTTCTAAATAAATCAGTCAAACTTACAATAAGTCTTGTGACTTGTGAGATGACAAGTGGAATGTTGGAGAATCTGCGCAATCTAAATCGCATCTAAACCACCAATTTAATTTAGGTAGCACCCTCTAACCTGTTTCAACTCACTTCAATGATATTAAAAAAAACACCATACCCATTTTTTAAAAGCGAAGTGTTGACTTTCGCAAGGACTATTTCACTTATATTCAATTTACTCAAAGAAAAAATAAAAATTATATGTTTTTTAATTAAGTCGTTAAAAACTAATTTGAAAAGATCTGCATATTTAAATAAAATGGTGTAGATTACCTACTTTGAAGGGAGGACCCCAAGACGGAAGATGCTCTTTGAACGAGATAAGACACATCGTTTTATTTTATTATGCGGATCTCTGCTAATTAATTTTTAAACATTTTAAAATAATGGATTTCCGCAAAATAACGCCTGATTGTATTTTTTTTTATAGATTAGAGGGCAAACGAGCATGCGGATCACCTGATGGTAAGTGACTACCGCCGCCCATGAACAACCGCAACACCAGGGGAATTGCAGATGCATTGCCGGCCTTTTAGAAAGGTGTAAGCTCTTTTCTTGAAGGTTCCTAAGTCGTATCGCTCCGGAAAATTCGCTGGTGGTAATTGATTCCACAAGGAAGTTGTGCGAGGGAGAAAACTTCTTCTAGATCGCACGGTCCACCAACCGCCAATCATCCAGATGGTATGGATGGTAACGTGAGTTTTGTCGCGATGTGCGATGGTGAAATTGAGCGGCTGGAATTAGTCCGAACAATTCCTCAGAACACTCCCCGTGATAGATGCGATAAAATACGCAAAGAGATGCAACATCTCTACGCAGTGCCAGTGTATCGAGCCGATCAGAAAGAACTCGGTCGTCGACGATTCGAACCGCTCTGCGCTGGATGCGGTCAAGTCGAAGGAGCTGGCACTGGGGTGCCCCGGCCCAGAGATGAGAACAGTATTCCATGTGGGGCCGAACTTGCGCTTTGTAAAGTTGCAAGCGATGTGCCGGCATGAAATACTGTCTCGCTCTGCTGAGCCTGCCAAGCTTTTTAGAGGCCACTTTGGCCTTCCCTGCCAAATGACCACGACAAATGCCACTGCACACTATTCGATATATCGACGCCAAGGATTCCGATACTAGCTGAGGCAGCAAGGGGAGTGCTTTGAAACTGAGGAGATACGACAAAGGGGTTCTTTTTAGCGGTAAACGCGCAAACTTGTGTCTTCTGGGGATTGAACTGGACTAGATTTAGTCAGCCCCAATCCGAGACTTTCTTAAGCAAAGACTCGACTTCAGACACAAGTTTGTCCCGGTACTCAGCGACGTTTTCCCGAGAAATATTGGCACGGCTGGTATATAAGGCATCACCAGTGCTGTCGTCTGCATAGCAATGAATGCTACCAGTTAGCAACATATCATTGATATGCAGGAGAAACAGCGTTGGTGATAGCACGCAGCCTTGTGGAACACCAGCGTTGATAGCCTTGAAATCAGAGCATGCACCGTCTACTACGACCTTGATGCTCCGATCAGCAAGAAAACTAGTGATCCATTTGCACAATTTCTCGGGAAGCCCATAGGAAGGAAGCTTCGAAAGAAGCGCTTTGTGCCAGACCCGATCGAAGGCCTTCGCTATGTCCAAACTAACGGCCAATGCCTCCCCCTTGGACTCTACTGCCTCCGCGCATCTATGAGTCAGATAGACTAGAAGATCACCAGCTGATCGACCTCGACGAAAACCGTACTGGCGGTCACTAATCAGCTGGTGATCCCCAAGGTACCTCATGAGCTGGTAGTTCACAATGGATTCCATTATTTTGGAGAACAAGGAGGTGATGGCAATAGGCCTGTAGTTGGACGGGTCTGAGCGGTCGCCTTTTTTAGGGATCGGGTGGATCAAAGCTGTCTTCCAAGAATTCGGGACTACGCCTTGGGAGTAGGAGTACCGGAAAATACGCGTTGAAACCGGTGCCAACTCCGGAGCACACGTCTTCAGCACAATTGGGGGGATTCCGTCAGACCTACTCGACTTGTGGATGTCAAGGGAGAGGAGTGCTCTGCGAACCGAGCGCTGTGAGAACCGCACATCCGGCATGGAGCACTCACACCGCGGGATGATCGGCGGTGTGTTCCCCCCGTCATCAACAGTCAAGTTGGATGCAAAAAGGGAGCCTAAAAGGTCTGCTTTCTCTTTTGCGTCGTGGGCCAGTGAGTCGTCCTCCCTGTGCAGAGATGGTAGTGTTGGCTTACAAAAATTCCTTTGGACAGCCTTGGCGAGAGACCAGAATGCACGGGTTCCCGAAGGAAGGCGAACTAGTTTCTCACCAAATCTGCCTATGTGCTCTGACTTTGCCTTGGCAATAACTCTTTTGAAGGACCTACAGGCGAAGTTATACTTCTTTTTAAGTATGCTGGTGTCTACATCCCGAGTCGCCGAAGCCGCAGCCCAGGCTTGATTGATAACACTCCTGTTTTCTGCGTAATGCAGTCTTACAGGAGCGACCAAACCAAGGCTGAGATCTGCCTCCGATGGGTACCACAGATGATGGAATAAAAAGTTCCATACCCTGAAGTACCACATCAGCAACAGAAACGGCAACAACGCTAGGATCTTCCGGCGAGAAGCAAGCCCGCCTTTAAGGGTAGGATGCAAAAAAAGACCGCATCCCGTCCCAATCATCTGACCTATAATGCCAAACACGGCGGCAAGCTGCAGATCGCAACTGCGATTGGAGCGTGAGTGGCACCGTACTCCGAATCAGACAATGGTCCGAAGAGCCCAGAGGGGCATCGACGGAGACCTGATATCCGTCCGGATGAGAGGTCAGCAGAAGGTCCAACAGGGAAGGTACATGGTCTTCCACATCTGGGATCCGCGTAGGCGAAGTAACCAGTTGTGTTAGACCTTATGCCAAAGCAAAGTCATAGACAGATCTACCCGTATGATCGGTTAAACGAGAACCAAGCCATTCAACGTGGTGGGCGTTAAAATCACCGAGTATCACGATCTCTGCGGATGGGACCTGTTGTAGCACGGAGTCTGCAGCCATTTGGACGTGGTCGATGAGTCGGTCTGTGTCGGCATTACCGCTATGGGACCTATAGAGGCACCCGTAGATGCGGAGATGGTCGTCGCTGTCTACGCGTAGCCATAGGATGGACAGGTCCGTACCTTCAAGACTGCCGAGGCGTCGAAAACAGATGTCCTCTCTGACGTATACGCAAACTCCAGCCCGGGGCACAAAGGTGTGTTCCAATTTGTACCCCGGGTAGGAGAGATATGAAGTATCAGCCGGAGAGGACACCTGAGTCTCGGTTAAAAAGAACAAGGCCGGCTTCGCCGTCTCTAGATGGTAATGGACAGCGTTAAGGTTGGAATGAAGTCCCCTGATGTTGCAAAAATTTGCGGATAGCGTGACAGGGGTCGCCTTGGTTGTATTGCTCCGCTGGCCCCGAGCAGCATTAGTCGCGAGCGGAATTTTGCCCCCCCCCCCCCCCCCCCCCAGAATACGCGGGGCAGCCTGAGCACCCACGCTCAGGAGTGAAGTAGTTTGGTCGTGGTGGATGCTCAGCGAGGGATTCTCCAGGGGTGCTGGTAACCTCCTGGGGTAGTATTTTATTTAATTCCACTACCATGTTGATGGGGAGGGGGGGGGGATTGGGCCTCCGGCCACCTGCACTCACCAAGCGCAACGCAGAGGTAAACCTCTACTTCACGCTGGTATTCTGTGAGGTCGTGGTACCACCCCGGTTCGAGCTGGCCCATCGGTGCGACAGCAAAAGCTACCTCTTAGCTCTACCACTGTTGGTAGAGCTAAGCGGTAGTGTATTAATTATCTTATAAATTTTTATTTTTTCAATATTAAATTTTCGTATTATCATACTATCGCCTTAATATAGTAGTGACATTAGAAATCACCAACGCAGTATTACACTAGAAATTGTGTCCATTTACCGTTGATCCCCACACTGAACTCCTTTGTAACGCAGCTTAGCGTAGGATACCTATTTAAATAAGTCTTTAAGCAACTCGGAAATGTTGCTTAAATTTTATCGAGGCCAGATAAAGTTTTGAATTGAATTATAAATTTTCAGTTCAGGTTTGCGATGAAAATACATGCTGCGGCCGTGGCGTGTGCTCCCCGATGCAAGGATGATGGAACACCACTGCCAACCTTCAAACGTTACGTTTACTTCCTGTTTGCACCTACATTGGTGTATAGAGATGAATATCCCAGGTATGTAATAAATTTATAAAGAATACCGCAATGATTTGGAATCGATAAAAATTGCTATAATTCTTTTTAATGCAGCAGATAGTTAATATTAAAATATCAACTAAAATATACTAATTCATATTTTAACGAATATACTCACATTTTGAAAATAACACATACATATGTAAATAAAAAATTGAAATACTGCGGCATGGATTTCAATGAGGTTTTAACCATTTTTAACCAAAATTTCAAAAACTGAGTCACAGGGAATCTTGAGTATAAGGTTTGTGTAAGTTGCATACATTGACATAGACATAGACATAGACATAGACATGCATTTATTCAGCAACATACACTCATACAGTTTTGATACAGAAAATAAAAATAAAACATAAAAACATCAAAGATAAAAGTAAATAACAAAAAACAGTCATAAAATGATCCGATTGCATGAGTGATGTGATGCTGAAAAGGGCACTGACTCAACGTAATGCTATCGCAGGATTGCGGTAGCGTTGGTTTTCAGCAATGCCCATTGAGGTTGGACTCGCCCGCGAGGATAGTATGTTCGCTTTATTTCTATTTTCGAGAAAGATGTTATCAAAATAATAAAATAAAATAATGGAAACAAAAAAGGATGGGAACTTTATTTATGCAGTAGGTATATATAAATGTATATAATAAATAATATAATGAGTATATACAATAAAACAATATAGATATTTATAATATAATACTATGAAAATATAATGCAGCTATTTTTGCAGTGCATGTATACTTGTATTTTAAGTAGAAATAGTTGGGAAAGGATATTAGAAAGGATAAATGGCATAGTGTTGTTTTGTTATCAAGTCGATCGCAGACGGTGCAAAGCTTAAGTAAGTCACGAGTAAGAAATAAATGAGTAATCTCTTAATTACAAATTGTTACATATTACAAATTACGTGGTAGAGCCATGCCGCAGCTATATTAATAGTATATTTGTAGTATGAATGGGTCGGCTCGACCGGGGAAGGACCACGCTCTCACTGAATACCAGCGTAAAATAGCAGCTTAAGGCTGCTGTGTTTCGTATGGTGAGTGTAGAGAACCGGAGACCCATTTTACTGGAAAAGAGGCATTCTATCTTAGTCCTCACGGCTGACAACGCATCTGCATTTCAATTCGCAAACGAAGATAGATGTAGATGTCTATGGGTCACAGAAACCATAAAAAATAATCAAATTTATAAAAATATAATTTAGTTATTTTATAAAAAAAATTATAGAATACGGGTGACAAACGAGCACACAGTCCACCTCATGGTAAGTGGAAGCTGTAACCCATAGACATTTACATCTATCCTCGATGTAGAATCAAAATGCAATTGCATTGTCACCCCTGACGACTGAGTTGGAATGTCTAGTGACTAATGAAAAATTCTCATCACTCATAATACGAAACACACCAGCATTATGCTGCTAGTTCACGCTGGTATTCTGTGAGAGCGTGGCCCTTTTCCGGCCGAATCGCTGATTCGTGCTGTAACCATATTACAGCTACAGCGTGGTTCTTCCACGTAAAAACGTGTCATAGTAGCCAACTATAGGAAAGGCCTCTTGGCCTCCGATGTAAAATACTCAGACTTGCAATGGTAAAGGTGCAAGAGCTCTATCCGTGTGTAGTCACAAAATAAATAGTATGATTTTCAATCTGGCTACTAAGCGTGACGATATAATTTAAATTTTAAAATTTTGTACAGTTGACTTCAATATGAGTTATTAAGAATAACTCAAAAACTATTGGTCTGACCTTGAGCAAAGGTCAGAGACAAGAAGTACCAGCTTTTAAATAAAAAAAGAATCATCCAAATCGGTTCACCCAGTAAAAAGTTATGAGGTAACACACATAAAAAACATACAGTCGAATTGAGTACCGTCTCCTTTATGGAAGTCGGCAGACAACAAACCTTACCTCTAAAGGAAGCGTACACGAACTTTGATACACGAACGTCTAAAAAGGTAAAAAGCAACAGCCATAACACGTCCTACTCCTAAGGAGACATCCTCTCATCTTACAAAAGATCGTAACGATGTATCGAACACTATTTGCTCCTGTACTGTAAAATTTGATGCGAGCGCCCACTCACTAAACTACCACAGATAAAAGAAGTAAGTCATCCACCATCGGACAACCAATCGCTCAGCCAGTCTCCACCCCTTTGTTGTAATTGCGTGTTCAGCAAAGGGGTAAAATTATTTATCAGCCTCTGTGGTCTTTTCATCCCATTATAATGTAGGTGTTTTGAAGGCAAGCGTGAACGTTCTTTTGCTAAATAACTTTACTATCTTTGACCACGTCATAACTTACCATCATTAACGTATTTTTTTCCTTACAGGACAAGAAAAATTCGATGGAGTGTTGTGTTATTTCATTTTGTGGAAGTAGGAGCTATTATATTTTACGGCACCTCTACTTGGGAAAGATTTATTTTACCGTACTGGTCGGATTACGGAAAAGAAGCGAAAGTAAGTTACAGATTTTTTTGATATTTAACTAAATAAATAAACGCGATGAAAAGATAAATCGTTCGTCATAGATAAAGTTATTATATTCTTTGCGGTTTAGACATTATTTAAAAAAATCTATTTTGTTTTACTGTTTCGTAAAGTTTGTTTGATTTTTTACAGAAGAATGAAGAAATGACGTAAATATGAGCGTACAGTTCACTTGATAGTATGTGGGTGCTGATAACTGCACAAAAACAAACAGTCACTTACAAAAAAAATCGTTTATAAACCATACAAAATACATTTTTTCGTACGGTAATGAGTCAGATAGCGACAGCAGACTATTTCTGTCAATAATTGAACTATAGTAAAAGTTAACGTCAACTTTAAAGAATCAAACAGAACGTATGAATAACTAATTATTTTAATGAAAAAAAAACATGTGTGTAGTTCACACGCGGCAGAAGTAAAATCTTGAAATGAAATGAAATGTAAAACAAAAACATTTCACAGGAAATGATTTATTTAATGAGTTAATTTGCATAAAATATAAGATAAAAGTCTTATTTTATAGTAATTAAATGTTTATTTTTAGACATGTGGAGTATTTGTATTAAATCAAAAGAATATTTTCTTTCGATTTAAATTTCTTTGTAATTCATTCTTTAGGTAAAATCGTTTTATTAAACAAAAAATTTTACTCTCAATGTGGTCCGTAAAGTAAACACTAGATGGTCTAAATACTAATCCAATATAATTAGTTAAGATATAAAGTCGTGGAATGTTAAGAATGGCTTAGATGTGCTAATTTTTGCATTACAATTAATTTTATTTATTTGATAATAAATTTGTAATTTGTATGTAATCCTTTATCTTAACAGTTGAAAGTTATATGAACTATTTTAAAGCACCGCACAGAGAGGTGACCGAGATAATAGGAAACACTTTATACTGTACTAGCTGTATCGCGCGGTTTCATTCGCGTATATCACGCGTCTAAGCCGAGCGACTTGACAACTCGCTTAGAGGCATTCACTGTTGTTTTCTGCCTACTTCCAAAAAGGAGACGGTACTCAATTCGAGTGTATGTTCTCTTTTATGTGTGTTACCTCATAACTTTGTACTGGGGGAACCGATTTTGATGATTCTTTTTTTATATGAAAGCTGATAGTTCTCGTGTGGTCCCATATGAATTTGATCAAGGTCAGACCAATGGTTATTGGGTTATTCTTAAATAACTTATATTGAAGTCGGCTGTACAAAATTTTTAATTTTATACTATTATTATCTCTCGGTTGTGTGCAGCCAAATAACATGATATAAAAAGCAAAGTTTATCTTCATAAATTTTTCTTAATGATGAGGTAACTTTCATTCGCAACGATTAATATGCCATGTCTAATAATAACGATCATAAATCACTTTTTACTTTTCACTATTTTTGTGTCACAAAATACCTTATTGTGGTGTATGTATAAGAAATAGGCCAATGGTATATTGGAATTATTTTAGAACACATTATTTCGGTCATATCACTAACCATTACGACAGCGCAAGAGGATAAAGCAGCTGAGAGACCTAATGCTAGATAGTATTCCTCGTGAATCTGGCTATCATATACAAAAATAATTTATTAAATCGGCTTGGTAGTTCCAGAGATTATCATGTTTAATTAAACCAAAAACCTTTTCTTCTATTTTATTGATTATTTATTAGTATAGATTCTATCTCACTCTCTCCTAGGCTAGGAGACAAATATATAAATCTATAGGATAGAGATTTATATATTTGTCTCTTTTTAATGTCGCTTTTTCGTTCCATTGAGTTTCAAATCACAACGATTCCTAAGAAGTTTCCACTTCAAAATGGTAATTTTAATCCTTCGTCCTAATCGATTAGATATTCAATACATTTATTGCGGTAGTAAAAGCATGGCTTAGACAAAATAAAATCTGCGCGGCTGGCAAATGGAACTCAGCCAAAAAGTTTCTTCCCTGATCGATGCACATTTTATACGGCTTTAAACTGGACGATTTTTTTAAATTGCAATTGTCTTCATGCTGTATATACAAGAAAAATGCATATTACTATTTAAGAAATAATCACAGGCTGACTGTCTTAACTTTGATTGTACATTCTACGCCAAACACAATGTGAACACAATTAGGAAAATTGTCGTCGATTTTGTTGATTGTCGTTGCTACATACCTTAACCTTAACCCATCTACAGATTTTATAACATCAAATAAAGTGATAACGATACACATACACGTACAGATAAAGTATAATTGTACTGTTTTAATAGCAATGAAACCCATTGTCAGATTTGGTGCTGTTAACAAAAAATACTAATAAACGCAATCAACTAAATTGTATACAGCATGAATGACAGACACGCAAAGTATTAATCATTTATTTTTCTTTCCTCTTTCAGGTAGAAGCCGGTACCGTTGTGCGCGGTATGTTTGCATGTATGCTCCCAGGCATTATTTCTTTTATTTGTGGTTTTTACTGCCTTCTTCACGCTTGGCATAATGCTTTTGCCGAGATGCTGAAATTTGGCGACAGACGTTTTTATGGAGTAAATATATACAAATTTTCTTTTTATAATATAATCTTATGTAACAAACTAAGCCCTATAATGTATACTATAAAACAAGGAATGTAAAATTCTGGACCTCATTGTAGATATTAAGGGGATTTTGATGATAATTCCTTCAAGTAATTTAATTAGGAAAGGCCTATATACCCCTCACTTAACTACTAAGAAGCCTTCTACTTAACATAACTTCTATTTCTACATAACTTTAATTTCTCGTCGCTATTTCTGGTAGTCAATACAGGCTGTTTGTGAAATGCTCCAGAAAAAGAAGATAGACGATAGTACTAACGATACCTTTGATGACGGGTCAGAAAGAAAATCGATCCCGAGGAAATAAAATCATCTTTTCACAACGTTTTATTAGCTTTATTCACGCTCCATCATGTTATTACAACTAAATGAAACGATAATTTCATTACAAAATCATGAAAATACTTAAACATAAAACCAGCAGTGTAATTTCAATCAGTTGACTAGGGTTAATATACGCGCGGACGCCGAATGCTTGCGGCCCGCAGCGAGCCATCGTACCAATACCTAATAATTTACAACGCTTGTCTTAACCTAACCTAACGTATCTACTTAACCTCAGTAGGTTTTGCCACTGTGCTTGTCTCCACCTAGCCATTTTAATTCGAATTCACAGGTTAAATAAACCAAATACCTGGTTCGATTCCCCGCTAATGAAAAATTTACTTAATTGAAATGTTAACAAGGATAGAGTCATGTTTTTTTATCCATCGTGTAGGTATATTTATTATGCTGATGTATTCAGTTATGTACCTATTCAGATCGGTTCAGTACTAAGCTATATAAAAAAATTCGGTTTGGAACAGCTTACCGACCTAAATCCTCCGTGGCCTTATGAGATTTTCCAAGGCACATTAACATGTTGCCATATTCTCAAGCACTATAATCAGTGGCAATTTGCTTCGCTGAAAGTACACAGGTTTTATATAAATATACTTATACGTCTTGGATTTTATGGAGACCGGAAGATGTAATTCGATATCTGCTGTTGGAACTCCTTCACGAGAATAACTAGGTGTGCCCAGATTGTGCGCATTATGTCAGTAATGATTAAACCTTACCCCCGGACTTGAAGGTGTACTTCAGTGCATGCTACTGGAACTCCTCGAAGAGAAGAAATAGTAACTCGTGTGCCGAGTTTGGCGTGAGGTACGTCAAACTATTAAAAATTACTTACAAGTTTTATTGTAATTGCTGCCTCTAATTCTTATATCACCTAAACAAACCTTTGTAAGTAAATTTCGGTGCAACATGGCAGCGTTGCCAACACCAATTTGTCAAATTCTTCAAAAATCCATGTCAAATTCCCCAACTTAAGGACAAAACTTTAACAGTTCCCCTCAATTTTATTTTAAGAAATAAAACAATTTTCAACTAATTTTATAAGATTTATTTTTTAACGAACTTTTTTCTTTTTCACCGAATTTTTTTCACACTTTCCATTTTATAACAAGGATTTTATTCCAGGGAGTATTTTTAGTACCTTCCCTTGTTGCAATTAAAAAGTACCACAGTATCTGTTCTCTGCTTTACAATTAAAAATAAAGACATGAAAAGCATTAAATGATACACAAAAGTTGCCAAAATAAATCCGAAAATTAAATGTGTTAATTAAATGAAGATAATTTAAAAAAAGGAGTCGTTCGATATTCATAAGTAACCTAACAAAAATATTAAGATAAGTATTAAAGATGGCAAATAATTACTTCGCGCACATTCGTTCGATAAAATAAAATGATGTGTCTTACCTAGTTTGAAGAGCACCTCCCGCCCTCCCTCAATTGCGTGCACTATCCCCGTCAACACTAATCCCAGCAGCACTACTCCCAACACCACTACACTGGGAAAGACACACCACTGACGATAATTAGACACGTGTTTCGCCTCTACACGAGGCATCTTCAGATAATCTAAGCTCTGCGGTGGCTGACCGCTAAGTGAGCGGCGAGCCAAAAGAACTCCTATTTATACAGACCGCTGACGCAACCGCTCCCTACTTAAGGAGCCAGCGACTGCGTCATGCGATAAAACATGCGACCAATCACCGCTGGACTTACGCAGCCGTTTGTAAAAATAAACACAAACCGCCGCGCAATGTTCGCCTACCATCCAACCACGCAACCAATTGCCGATCATCGTGAGGGTGACAAACGGCCATATTGTGAGGCTGTATGTTATTATAGAGAAGGCTTAAAGATATTCAAGAGAGGTTACTTAGAAATATTTGTTTGTTCATTCAGCAGTGCAACGTTACTATTATTACTTTTTAATATCTCTAACTGTTCCAGCACACACAGCCGCAGCACTTTATTACACGTATGTAAGACTTTAAGTGTCCAAGTGTCCAAAAGATGTTTAACAAAGTAGTATTTACCGGGATTGCAATTCCTATACGCGGCTAAATGCTCTTTATAACGTGTCCCGAAATCGCGACCAGTCTGACCCACGTAAACGCCGTGGCATTTGTCACAAACAAGTTTGTAAACACCCGACTTTTGATGAATATCCAACTCATCTTAATTATTACAGATATTTCTAAGAGAATTGTTTGTTTTGAATGCCACATAAACGCCGTATTGTCGAAGAGTATTAGCTACTTTTTCAGATGGGGTCTAAGTAGGTCAAACTGCTCACTTATCGACGAACGATGAACATTGAAGTTGAACCGCGTGCAGAGAGTTGCGAACAACATACTTTTGTTTCTTCTTAATTAAATTGTTAATGAGATTTTTTTGAAAAACCGTTAGACACTGCTATTTGATAAATTATATTAAGCTATTTTAAATAATTTTCTTTACTTAATGGGACAAAGAACAAACGATTAATGTAACAATAGAAAGCGGCTAATTTATGTTGCCACGGATGACACGATGACGCGGGATGACCGTGTCGGTATGAGTTGACTTTCGATAAATTTGGAAAGCATGTGACGATTCTCTTCTTGTTATTGTTAAGTCGAGGAATCAAGGGAACAATCTTGTTCTAATTCAAGTTTAAATTTAATTTTGTCGTGGACTCTATTTATTTTATTGAGGAAAACATCCAGTTGTCTCCTTCTGCCAGTCCAGCAAATAATTATGTCGTCTACATATCGATAGTAATATAAGATATTTTGATTGACAACTATATGTTGTTTTTCGAAATTGTCTATGAAAATGTCCGCCATAAGGGGACTTAAAGGAGATCCCATAGCTAACCCTTCTTTTTGTAGAAAGAAATGGTTGTTAAACCAGAAATAGTTTCGTTTTATACAGAGAGAGTTTAAATTAAGAAGATCACTTGTTTCTCCGGGATGAAGACGACGTTTATCAAACAGATCTGTGAGTATACCCAAAGAGTCAGGGGATTTTTTTTATAAGAGAGGGTGCAAACGAGCATGCGGCTCACCTGATGGTAAGTGACTACCGCCGCCCATGAACAACTGCAACACCAGGAAGGGAATTGCAGATGCGTTGCCGGCCTTTTAAAAAGGAGTACGCTCTTTTCTTGAAGGTCCCTAAGTCATATATGGTGTGGATGGTATCGGGAGTTCTGCCGCGATGTGCGTTCGTGAAATTTGGCGGCTGGGATTAATCCGAACAATTCCTCAGAGCACTCCCCATGGTAAATGCGAAATAAAATGCAAAGGGATGCAATATCTCTTCGAAGTGCCAATGAATCGAGCCGATCGGAAAGGGCTCGGTCGTCGACAATTCGAGCCGCTCTGCGCTGGATGCGGTCAAGTGGAAGGAGCTGGCACTGGGGAGCCCCTGCCCAGAGATGGGAACAGTATTCCATGTGAGGCCGAACCTGTGCCTTGTAAAGTTGCAGGCGGTGTGCCGGCATGAAATACTGTCCCGCTCTGCTGAGCACGCCAAGCTTTTTAGAGGCCAATTTGGCCTTCTCTTCCAAGTGACCACGAAACTGCACGTCATTCGATATGTCGACACCGAGGATACCGATACTGGCTGAGGCAAGAAGGGGAGTGCCTTGAAACTGAGGATATACGACAAAGGGGTTCTTTTTAGCGGTAAACGCGCAAACTTGTGTTTTCTGAGGATTAAACTGGACTAGATTTAGTCGCCCCCAATCCGAGACTTTGTTCAGCAAAGACTCGACTTCAGACACAAGTTTGTTCCGGTACTCGGCGACGTTTTCCCGAGAAATATTGGCACGGCCGATGTATAGAGCATCACCAGTGCTGTCATACGCATAGCAATGAATGTTACCAGTTAGCAACATATCATTGATATGCAGTAGAAACAGCGTTGGTGATAGCACACAGCCATGTGGAACACCAGCGTTAATAGGCTTGTAGTCAGAACATGCACCGTCTACAACGACCTTGATGCTCCGCTCTGCAAGGAAACTGGTGATCCAATTGAACAATTTCTCGGGAAGCCCATAGGAAGGAAGCTTCGAAAGAAGCGCTTTGTGCCAAACCCGATCGAAGGCCTTCGCAATGTCCAGACTAACGGCCAACGCCTCCCCCTTGGACTCTACTGCCTCCGCCCATCTATGGGTCAGGTAGACCAGAAGATCACCAGCTGATCGAGCTAGACGAAAACCGTATTGGCGGTCACTAATCAGCTGGTGATCCTCAAGGTACCGGATGAGCTGGCAGTTAATAATGGATTCCATTATTTTGGAGAACAAGGAGGTGATCGCGATAGGCCTATAGTTGGACGGGTCTGAGCGGTCGCCTTTTTTAGGGATCGGGTGGACAAAAGCTGTCTTCCATGAATTCGGGACTACGCCTTGGGAGTAAGAGTACCGAAAAAAACGCGTTAGGACCGGTGCCAACTCCGTAGCACACGTCCTCAGCACAATTGGGGGGATTCCGTCAGGCCCACTCTACTTCTGGATGTCCAGGGAGAGAAGTGCTTTGCGTACCGAGCGCTGTGAGAACAGAAACAGAAATCCGGCATTGAGCACTCACACCGCGGGATGGTCGGCGGTGTTTTCCCACC